TTTTCTATTATGAGAAGTGTGTCTGGGACAAAAATCATGACTTCGCAGACAAAGCCACGAGTGCAGTGTGCCTTGCACAAAACCACACTTTGCGGATGTCATGGATACAAAAGGCTCATAACATTTCAATCAAAGAAAACATAAGTTCATTGAATTTGTACACATCAACCGTGCCGGAGGTTGGACATGAAGTCAAAAAGAATTTGTAAAAGGAACTGTTTAAATTCAAAACAGGACCCCGAAAAGGATGCCTAAATTTCATGCAAATTGGACAAATATAAATACTTTAGTAATTTTTTTTGAAAGGAGATTACCTCGGCTTTTAAGAAAGCCAATAACATTCGTACATACTGGGGTTTCCAGTTTGAAAGCACAGACCTGACTCAACACTCCTGAATACAAGCAAAGGAGACAAAATGTAGAAACTAATGTTCAGAGCAACCTAGCATGGATAGCCAGAAGCAAAACTCAACGCTAAATCACCATGATCTCCGAGCAAGGTCCTTCAAAGCTTTTCTTCTGGCTCATCCACTCCGCCAAACATTGCGCTATCTCTTTCATCTTGATCTTGTCGCCCTCCCTTTGCAGATTTGCCCACATCTGCAGAAAATTGATAGCCATATGAATTACAGCAGCTGGATTCAGCGGAAGTTCTTTTCAATTGCCATCTTATTACGGTTCTTCCAGATAGCCCAAGCTAAACCTGCAAACACAGCAAAGCATATTTTCTTAGGAACTCCCAGCCTCCTTGGCAGCCACTGTGTGAATACTTCCTGAATGGAGATCGGAAAACCCTGTAGATGAAAAGCATCCCTAACACAGCACCAAATATATTGTGAGAAAACACAGCCAAACAGAATGTGATCAACGGTTTCAGGCATATGACAAACACAGCACATAGGGCTCCCACGCCAATTCCTCTTCACTAATGCTACCGCCGTCTGTAGCTTATTATGTACAGCTTGCCACAAGAAAACCTTTACCTTCAAAGGAATTTTGCATTTCCACATCATCTCATTCCTTTTGTCATTAACCCCTCCCTGAGTTAAACAGTAATACAAAGACTTAGTGGTAAAACATGCTGATTTTTCCAGAGTCCATACTACCTCATCCTGATCAGTCTCAACTAGTTGTATACCCTGCAGAGTAACCCCTAGCTCTTCCCATTCGGCAGGCACTGCTCCATGTAGACTCCTTCTAATAGGGATGTCCCAATCCCCATCTCTCCACATATCCTTTACCCTGGCATTTGGTTTCTGGCAAATCTCAAAAATACCTCTAAACTGAATTTTCAGAGGCAGCCCCCCATTCCATGCATCATGCCAGAACCTGGTTCTATCTCCCTTCTTCACCCCATTTAAACATATGCTTGACTTTATGCAAGCCTTTCCAGAACTGAGAAACCCCCTGATGTGCAGAATTAAAGAAGCCTTTCCCCTTCATATACTTGGCATCAAGCAATCTATACCAAAGTTCTTTAGATCCTTTTTCAATTTTCCATATCCATTTGGTAATTAGACATTGGTTCATCAAATATGTGTTGATTACACCTAACCCTCCTTGGGTCTTTGGCCTGCATACCCCTATCCATTTGGCCATATGATATTTAAAAGTATCACTAGCCCCTTGCCAAAAGAATTTAGATCTTATACTGTCCATCTTATCATGCACCTCTTTTGGCATCAAGTAAAAACCCATCATATACATTGGAAGACTGGTTAAGCAGGAATTAGTAAGAATTAATTTGCCTCCAGAGGTCATGAATTTACCCTTCAATGGGTCCAACCTCTTCATCATCCTGCTAGGGACCCCCTGAAAAGCTTGAATTCCTAATGATCTGTCACATACCGGTATTCCCAAAAAATTCACAGGTAATTCCCCCAGCCTGCAGTTCAAGATATTGGCTTTCCTTTCCTTCTCTGCCTGGGAGAAACCAAATAGCAGTACCTCACTCTTGTGAAAATTAATTTTGAGACCTGAGAGCCACTCAAAGCAGTATAATAGAATTTTCAGATTGATAATGGAGCTATCAGAGCCATCAGTCATTAGCACTGTATCATCAGCATACTGGATGTGGGAGATCCCTTCCTTAATGAATGACTCTAACAACCCTTTAATCATCCCCTTATTGACAGCCTTCTCCATCAAGGCACTAAGAGAGTCTGCCACTAAATTGAAAAGTAGAGGAGAAAGTGGGTCACCTTGTCTAAGACCCCTCATGGTTCTAAAGTAGGGACCCCTTGTCCCATTAACATTTATACAAACCTGACCCCCCCCCCACACCACACACACACACAACAGTCTGCATAACCCAAATACCCAATGTATCCACTGCTGTGGAAACCCTTTCCCTTTCATTACCTCCTCAAGAAAATCCCATCTTACCCTGTCGTAAGCCTTCTCGAAGTCAATTTTAAGAATCATGCCTTGATTATTACCTCTGCTTAGGGTATAAATACTTTAGTGTTAGCATAAATTTAACAGTTATTGAAAATTATCTAAACAAATAAAAAGAATCCTAAATGTATTACATTTTAATTTGCTACGCAAGTCGACGACCAATGCATAAACTGAATAAAAATTGATAGTTTTTTTATCCGATTATTACTCTTGTTCACAATCAATTAGAACGACAGATTTAGCTCGACAAACAATACGGTTGATCCCAACAATGCGAGGCTAGTAAAGTAGAAATGACAACAAAAGTACAATTGTACAGATGATTAGGTGTCGTCGGCTTTGATGAGCCATTCTTGTTGTCGAACTCGTGCAGGCCTCGATGAGCACCAGAGGTCCAGAGTAGGTGGAGACAGAGATATCGAAGAGGTGCAGAACCCTATAGCACCGAACGATAAGCGAAGGCGGCAAAATATGCATGACCAGCCGGGTAGCTCCTCCACGCCGCTGGCCCGCTGCTCGTGTCGCGCTTCCCCTTTGCCTAGCGTCTGCTCTCTCGCCCATCCGGGCACCCCCGACGGTGTTGGCAACGTCGCAAACGGCAAAGCCGATGGCTCCATGCGTTCACTTGGGCGAAATGCTAACTAGAACGAACAACTAAGGAGGCTGGCCCATAAGAGAAGGAAGGTGCCAAGGACTGACTTGGACTGAGTTGTTGTTGCGTGTTTGTGCTCAAATTAACACAATTATTTGTCTCAAGTACAAACATATACATATATTATAGTACGTACATAGTAACTGTAATGTTTTTTTTTGCCAATAATATTGGGTGTACATCTGTACACGGTACACTGCGTCCGCCCAATCCACACAGCGGAAGTACAAAAGGAAATGTGTTTGCCTTTGATTCAGCGGAGATGGAGAAGTCAAGCGGCTCGTCGAACAAACGTTCTGCATGCAATCATATCACACTTGTGCTAGTTCGAAGGAAAGTAATACTAGGGAGCGATTATGTCACACTAGTACTTGTTAAAAGGGAAGTGGTACTAGTTGCAAGGAAAGTTAAAAAAAATACAGTACTAAGTTGAAAAAAATGCAATCATATCACACTTGTGCTAGTTCAAAGGAAAGTACAGTACTAAGTTGAAAAAAGTGCAATCATATCACACTTGTGGTAGTTCAAACTTCAAAGGAAAGTAATAAGAGGGTTATGTCACACTAGTACTTGTTAAAAGGGAAGTGGTACTAGTTGAAAGGAAAGTTTTTTAAAAAAAATACAGTACTAAGTTAAAAAAATACAGTAATAGTTGAAGGAAAGTTAAAAAAATACAATACTAAGTTAAAAAAATTACAGTACTAGCTGAAGGGGAAAGTAAAAAAAACACAAAAGGAAGTGGTACTAGTTGAAAGGAAAGTTTTTAAAAAATAAATACAGTAATAGTTGAAGGAAAGTTTTTTAAAAAAAGTACAGTACTAAGTTAAAAAGTACAGTACTACTAGTTGAAGGGGAAAGTTAAAGGAAAGTTTTAAAAAAAGTACAGAGTTAAAAAGTAAAATACTACTAGTTGAAGGGGAAAGTTAAAGGAAAGTTTTTAAAAAAGTACAGTACTAAGTTAAACGGTCCGTTCGTTTGGAGGAATTTGTGAGAGAAAAACACTGTTCCAGATGAAAAAAGAAGCGGATCAAGCCGGGTTTAAGGACGCGAAGGGCGCCAAAAAGTACCGTGCTACTAGTTGAAGGGGGAAATTTTAAAAAAATACAATCTGGCAGTTCTCGAACCTGCGACCTTCACGTTATTAGCACGACGATCTAACCAACTGAGCTAATAGTCCATTTCATACATGGTTTCAATAAAGCTTTTAATGTCGGTATACTACTAAACAGCAGTACATGACATCTTATAAGAACAGTTTCTGACCACCTACAACTACGATCCGCTCTCTACAAACTTATCCAGAGTTGCATCCAACATCATCGATTCACCGTTAGGAACACCGGGACGCAATCTCTTGAACTCCCCGGAAAATGTGTCAGAAAAGATCTGCAGGCTGCTTCGACAAGAAATCTCCATGTATTTGTTTGCCTCGGACTCTCAGAGGCTTCACCACTCCAATTTCAGTACCAAATGGCCACGAAGCTCCCAGATCGCTGGGTCTATTCTTGTCCAGCAACTCTTGGCTTGCCCGGTGAGTTGCTTCTTCACGTAGCACTGATCGACTGTGGGAGGCAAATGCCAAATGATGCTACAAACCCACTGCTTGCATGTGACGTATGAGTAAGTTCAAATTTCAGAACTTCTGAAGTTGCACGGCAGTATAGTACCTGTGTTACGAGGAAAACTCTCTTGCAATTGAAGCGAGCGGGTCGAGAAGAGCAACTAGGCTCTCTGCTCTTCCCGGAAGAAAGCCTTCACAGTACAGCAGCAGGATTTATGTGAGTTTGGTACGAAATTGAAGTCAGATAAACCATATTATTTTCATTCCAGAGATGATGAGTCAAATCAGAAATGCTACTACATGATATACCATCATAAAGTAACAGTTACCAATACAACTGTTAACTGGAACTTCAGAATTGTTACACTCTAGGAACCTATATCCGAGTTACAACCAAGGGAGCCTGGTCAGGAAGTCGAGCACGCATCGATTCAACTCCTGAAATTCTGTTTCAGAAAGAGCCGCTTCAACCAGAAATCTGCATATGTTTGCCTCAGAGGCTTCGTCGTAGTCCTTCCTCCTCTTCAGCACCAAATGGCCACTGAGCTCCCAGATTGCTGGATTGATTCTCATGTCGAGGAACTCTTGGCTCGCCTTTCCAAGGAGCTGCTTCTCCGCATAGCACTGACCAATCGGTTTTGAGGGAGATAAATGTCAAAACATTGCTAAAGGAAGAACTGTGAACATTGTTTCAGAGTTCAGAATTTACAACCAACAAGGTTGCATGGCAATACCTGTGGTAGGAGGAAAACTCTCTTGCCAGATTCAGAGTTGAGGACATTGAAAAGTCTGTTGTTCTCTTGCAAAAAGATGCACACTTTGGATACCACATCCGACAAATCTTCCAGGCTTGCACCACCTTCGAACAAAAAGCCATTGACTGGATAATCCACCAGGTGAAAAATGCTCACGCCATTCCCTAGGCTCGTGAGCTTCTCCGTGGTTGCCTTTTCAACTGGATACTGTACTTTCAGGTAGTATGCCTAATGAACAAAATGCCAGTATATGACTTGCTGAGAGGATTGTAATGTACGAACACTTGTCAATTGTCACACTGCAACCCAGAAGTATATGACGTATAGACATTGTGAAGACTAACCTGGAAGTGAAGGTGATTGATAGTTGCAAAGCCGCCAGGCTGTTATAACCAACTCTGAAGAAGGGATTCCTTTCCTCTCTTGCAATATACATGGCTATTAAAAAGCTCTCTTGATCAATCCTCTGCTGTAAACAGTCCTGGATCTTGGGAGTCAAAAGGACATGGCAGTAGCCAATTGGACTCACCTGTGACCCGGAAGATGAAAAAAAATGTTAATCAAATCATGTCGAATTTCTATCAGTAAAGCATTAAGTGAATTTGACAGAGGGGGGCGCACTGACATTAATCAAGATGGCACTAGAAGAAGCTGAAACAGTATCAGGAACACCATCAAAATATTGTGCAGAGTCTTTCTCAGTTTCATTGAATCTAAACATCACCTCCAATGGGCTAACTTTTGTGAAATTAAACTTCTCACTGACAAATGGCTGGAGGACTTGGTTCATTGTGAACTCAGTTGGCCGTTTCTTTTGGTCACGTCCTTCAATTAATGTTGCCACAAAATTGTGTTCTCCAGGTAGCACCTATGACATGATTATGCAAAATTAAGAGAGATGAAATCACCCAAAAGATACCTGACCAGTTAATTGGAGAGAATCAGATAATGAAAAAGAAAACCTTTGTTTCACAGGAACTGATGTCATGGTGAAACAAGCCTCTCATCTTGCGATCGTCCCACTGCAATAAGCCAATAACCGCTCATGTTTATGCTTTAACTAGCATTCTTTCAATACAAATCATAATCGGAATGCAGACATGATGTGTCTAAGGCATGTAAAAATTACAAACCTCGTTAAAAAGTTTGCGTAGAAATGGTGACAAATTTGAACCTTCATGCTCTGTCAGGTCAAAACTAGTGCCATCCATGGTTAGTTCTGTTTCAGCTGAAAGCAATGTCAAAATATACAGGAATCAGACAGCGCCTGCAATATATGAGTTTGTGTTAGCTAGTAAGTTCCATACAGCTCATTAGTCATTACTAGCACTGCGTTCAATACAAGGTCGCTATGAACAAGCGTCACTTAAGAAAATGCCCAATTGTTCATATGGAAGTAGGTAACAGTTGTGCAAAAGGAAAAAAAGAAAGATGTAGAAAACAGATGCATGAAGTAGACGGGTCGTTTCACAGCTCAGCATTTGGGTTTGTCCCAATCCAAAGGCTCAAAATCATTCCCCAGACGCACAAATCAATTCCCATTTTTCACCACCAGTTTAAACACACCACATGTTCAATTGATCCATGTGTGCTGTCGGTGACAAGTCATAAAGGCCAGTAGGCCACTCTTTTCCCTGACCACAAGCACAGAAATATCACATCAGCTAAGAGAACGATGCCGGCATACCGAAGAAACGCCGCCGCAAGGTTCGGTTTCGGCGAGCTCTCGACGCCGCGGGAGCAGGAGCAACCAGCGATGGAATGAGCTGGGCTAGAAGAGCAGTGACTGACATAGGAAATGGCCAAACTTTTGCGGGGGACGCAGGTGGAAATGGACCCCAAGGGTTGGATCTCACTCAAAGGAGGCCTTCCCCCAAGTCAGCAGCTGGATTTGGTGGCTTTGTTGAGAGATTGTGGGCGGAGAAGACGGTGGATTCACGGCGACCCCACGTGGATAAGCAACGGGAAGAGAAGGGAAACCGGGAGGAGGGCAGGAGCGCCAGGACGGTCACCATCACACGATGAGAGGAAGGTGCGGCCGCGCGCTCCGTATGTGTGATATCACGATCATTAGTCGCGATCCAAATCAGGGATTAATTTGCAACAATTTTAAGTGGTTACTGTCGTGGACCGCGACCTCCGGGCTCGCGGTCGCCGGCGGAACAGTATACACTTCGTGTAGCTTTTGAATGATGCTGTCTTCCATTTGCAGACAATAGGTAGTCAGATTGCTGTGAAGATTGTAAAAAACAAGCATGCCCCACCCTTCAAGACTGCACAGTTTGAGCTTGAATTTGGAAAGAGGATATGCCGCAGTTCTGAGCTTTTTGAACTCGGATTGAAGCACAAGCTTATCAAAAAGACTGGTGGCGCATATTATAGTTTCAATGATATGGCTTTCAATGGTAAACATAATCTTAAATCTTACCTTGATGAAAACAAGAGTGTTGCAAATGATCTGGAGATGGAACTAAGGAGATTGATGGGAACTGAAGCACCTAAAGAGCAGGAGGCAGAAGATAGTTCGCTGAGTGATTTGCCTGAAGAGATTGTTACACCTGAAGTATCGTCAGAAGAGGATCTGGGAGCCGTAAGCGAAGCTTAACCGGTGATCTGATGTGCTGGCAAGTGGGAACAGAATTTCTGTAGCAGTTGTTCCCGTAAAACAATATTTTGGGTCCTGAAGTCACCACCGTTTGGATCAACATAACCTGTGGTGTTCTGGTGATTTCATTGTAACAGACTTCAGTTCTTACTGTGCTTATACAGTAGTGTAGCATGAAGAAAAAATCGCATTGTGTGAAATCATGCTGATAACTGAGAGGTGGAAGTTGAAGTAAGCTGGGTAGGGTGAGGTATTGTGGTCCGTGGCTATTTAAACTTTAGTGAGCAACGGTAAAATGTAATGGCGTGATCGTGTATATATGTGCACATTTTGAAGTCGTGGTGTCATGTCGAAGTCAGTTTCGAAAGCATTCTTTATTGAGTGCTGCTAGAATTACATTGAGCTCCCTCCAATTCCGGTACTTGCCTGCTTTTTTCCTTGGAGTAGCTAGTTTTGGTTTTTGGATGGTTTCTGTTGCTGGAAGATACTCGTAGTACAATGTAATGTAACTGGGGCTTTTCTGATCTGGGCTGATCCGTATTTGCCGCTTTTCTGATTTGGGCTGATCCGTGTTTTGCCCATCAGGCCCATTGACAGGTCCTTTCCTGTAGTGTACAATGCTCCCCTTATCTGTGTCCCTTATCTGATTTTCTTGGAGGAATGGTAGCCATAGCCTGTTCATCAACCAACAAAGTGTCATCCTTTTCCCTTTTTATTCTTCACCATGAAAGTGGCTCCCTTTTCAGGTGCCAGTTGATGCAGGAAATGATTTCTTGCTGGCAGTTCAGCCTGTTCGCTTGCTCGTAAACGATCGTAAATTTCCAGCCGGGAACAGTTTTTTTCTCTCACACCAAACCAGCCAGCAGTAAATAATCCATGATACGATACGGCCTCCCGAACAGGCTGACTTTTTGTTCTTGTGGCGTAAAAAGGCTGATCAGGTAGACTACTATGGCACCACCCATGGAGGCTACTCTTAGTGATTATAGTACAAATAAAATGACCTATATAAATTAGAAAATGTTGAGACTACTATTTACACAATACAAATTATCACTACTTGTGGTTTGTCCAAAAACTTTTTGCTTTCATCATGTCCCACCTTTATTTCATCTCTCTCTTCTTTTTTAGCATGGATCACCTTCTCTCTTCCCAGCATAGCTTCTGCAAGTTATTGTGACAAGTATAAAGTACCTACTTTTTTTATCCGATCTTACGTGATTCTTGAGGCTACTAGTAAAAAATGTGCATTGGGAAAGGCCTAACTCACCCTTGCCTTTTATCATTTTATCCAATCCAAGGTTGCTTCAGGCGATGGTTATAATAAATCTCTTGGCGAGGTAGTAGTTATCTGCTAGGAGTGTACGCCTTAGCAGGTCAACAGCAATAATTTATGGGACGGGAGTGTCCTTTGTTAAGGTGAGAGTGACAATGCTCTCTGTTGAGCGCCATGTGCATTGTCGTTGAGACTGTCAAGCTAGATAAATGCTCTCTTGGGCCTCATCTTAACTTAACGAATTCAAGAGGCAACTAATAGCTCTTTGACCTATCCATGTGCTATCATAGAAGTTCAATTTCTTTTCGTTATTAGTATCACTGTGCCAATCACCTTTAGGGTACACTCGGTAAACTACCTGCACGGCGAGTATTAAGTCCATGCCTTATGCCTATACAGAAACAAACAGCCAACAACCAGGTTTGGGGGGACTTTACTGCCATCTGAAGCACCCTGGCGTGGTGTTGTCCGCTCTCCAATCCACTGCGATGCTGCACACGGACACGGCAAGTACAACGCCTCGTCGTGATTCATGAACTGGCATTGCCGTCGGCGTCGCCCCTGCATCTGCATGGTGCCATGCACATCCACATCCCCATCCCCATCCACCTGGCCGGCCGGCCCACCGGACCCGTCCACCGTCCTCCTCCTCCGTGCCCGCACCAAACAACGCACGCATCCAACGCCGGGAGGCGCGGTGGCTGGCGTGGCATGCAGTGCAGGTGCAGTACGTCCGATCCGGTGCCGGTGCCACCCAACGCGCGCGGCGGCAGTGGCCCTGTCCATGTCCTCCTCGGCTCCTCGTAGCTGCAGCCGCTGTCCGTGGCGCCACATGCGCTGCACCTGGAGCCTGGAGCCGTCCGTCCCCGTCGCCCTCGCATTAACAAGTGCCCCGACGCCACGGTCGACGACCCTGCGATGCCGGGGACACCGTCATGTGCAGCTCACATGCTCCAAACCCCAGCCTGTAGTGTAGTGGTCAGCCTCAGTCTTGAGGTCTCTTGTTACGCAGCCAGAGGGAACGAACCATGTACGATGATGAGTTGGTGTCGTGGTGACGCCAGCACGCCTCGTTACGGGTGCATTTTTCGTCGCTTCCAAGGTCTCCTTTCCATCTTTGCAGATGCCAAGGCCAAGCTTGTGCTTGCCAACCACATAAGTAATCCTGGCTAGGCTTTGCTCTGTTTCTGTTGGTGGCGCCAAACTAGCAAGAGTTTGGTGAGTAGGAGTATACCCTAGGCCTAGGGCATATGCACATGTGCATTGATCGCTTGGCCCTTTCTGTCGACGAAAATGTATCGGGCGTACCAACGTGGCCATCATTAGCGCGCATTGATCATGACCGATTTATTAGTGATGATTTGGTGTGCGCGCGCGCGCGGCCCGTTACTGAGGGCGCGTTTAGTTCGGCCGGAGGTGCAAACTTTGCACAGTAAAAGATTTTTCACGGTAGTATTTTGTTTGTATTTGTGAATTATTGTCCAAACATTGACTAATTAGGCTCAAAAGATTTGTCTCGTAAAGTTAAATCAAACTGTGCAATTAGTTTTTGATTTCGTCTACATTTAGTACTCCATGCATGTACCGCAAGTTTGATGTGACGGTGAATCTTCTTTTTGCATAGTGCCAAAGTTGAGAGTTTAGAGAAACTAAACAAGAGCTGAGTTAGTTATACTAACTTTTAGTATTAAAAAGTGGTACAGACCGTTTCAGCCCTATCAGGTGAGAGCTTTGCCATTAGCAATCAGCCATCATATGGTCTGCATTAAAAAAAATCAAAAGATACTATAGACTTAAAATTTCTTCTCTGGTGTGCCAATAATCCAGCTGTTTGCTGACTACTGGGGAGACACATCACATCATCTGGTCCTCCATAGAGCCATAGAGGTCTTTGCATCGCACAGCCATAATCTCGACCTCTCGACGTTATCCCTTGGACGAACATGTATAAAATTAGATAATTCATCAACAAATAAAAATAATACCTACACCTATAGTTGGAAAAAGGGAAGGACAACAAGCATTATGCATATATCACACAGTTCGTACGTTCCGACTAGGCGACGACTACTCTATTTCACCGTGAAGAAGTTTCTTTCATTTCGAAGAAAATCAATCATGCAAATCCTTAAAAAAAAATCAATCATGCAATGCACAAACACTTTTGGACCTATAGGTAAACACATGCTTCTAAGTAGTACGTGTCGTCGCAGCTAGCAACATCATGATTTAGCCACTTGTTTTGCTCTTCCACGAATACGTCGCCTTTCGGTATTAAGACCGGCCGGGAATTCGGCCATTTGACGAGCAAGCTAGCTAGGCCGCTTGAT